CTCTCTTCAGAATCAAATGGGGGTTGAGTAGAGAGGACCAACATTTTATGGTTAGAAGCACTCTTAAAGAAATTTTCAACTTGGTCATTTTGATGGTGCGGCTAACCAATTAAATGAGCCAAATATTTTGTCTATATTCTTCTCAATAAATCCCTTTCCTTTTGTCCCAAGTAAATTGGTGACCTATTTTTTTTACTTCTTGCATTTGCATATTAGATATTAAGCCATTAAAGCCTCCAAGATAAGCTTCCATCTTCCTTCTACCTCGTCTTTTGTCACTCTCATCACATACTTCATTCCAGTCTTCCCCCACTATTAAGAAATTCCCCCATTTAGCCTTAGCTTCCTCAAGGAAAGCCCATTGAAGATCCCTGACTCTCCTATCAGTATTGGAGTAGACACATACTACCCGGGAGGAATCCACCCCATCAGCTCCATCCACTTCAATCTCCAAGAAAAATGGGGTGCCCCAGAATTTGATTAACTCTCATCTCATTGCTCCAGAAAAGAAGAAGACCCCCACTTAATACCCTTGGGGGTCCACAACAAACCAATATCCATAAATGCAATCTTTACAAATTGTTCTCACAAAGTCCACTTTTTTTTAGAAACAAAAATAAAGCTTGGGCGGTGGATTCTAGAAGAATCCTTGATCTGGGCAACTATAGAGGGTCCACTCTGACCTCTACAGCCCACATATGATCATCTTCATGTGGAAACTTGGGGTCAATTTAGGCTGGCTTCCTCCACCTCACAGCTCAAGTTTTTCATTTTTTTAGATTTCTGGAAATCTGACAACAGTGGACCATTTTCTTCCCTTCTCAATCACCCTCTGTTTTCAGCTTTCTTTTCGTGTTAACTCCAGGACTTGAATATTTTGGATGAGTAAACTCCATTTTCAGTCTGCCTTCCTGCCCCAGCACTCTTGTCCACCCTTTTCTTTTGAAGATACTCAATTTTTTTTTTATTGAAGTTTACCTCCTGCTGACCTATTACTCCTCTTTTTAGCCCATGTGGTTCTTCAGTTTCCATGACTTCCTTTTGTGAATACCCTTCTTCTAGAATACTCAACGATCCCTTATTCTGAAAATTCTCAATCTCAATATCCAGGTGCTTAACCCCGAACCCTCATCCTTCATTGAACAAAGTCAATGCCAGAGGAGACTCTGGCTGAATCTGGTCACAAACCATCTGTTCACCTCAATCCTCCTTCTCCAAGTTTGTTTGGTTACTGCTTTCTGATGAGTGATCGGATTGGCTTTTCTTCAAGCTTCATTGCTGATGGTTCATATTTTGAGATGGTGACTCAGTTGACTTACTTTTTGGACTATTTGGTGATAGAGAACTAGGACTAGTCTTTCCCTCTTGGGCATTCAGTCAATCGCCATATTGGCCTTCCTAAAAGCGTTCTTTTATGATGTCACTCATCCTCTTTTCACAAGACCTACATAATGATATATATTCATAAGTTTTTCATATTGAAAGGCCGCAGTTACTAGCTGATTATTGAGCTTCCAATTAACTACCCGAGGGAGAGGTTTAGAGACATCTACAATCATGAATCACCTCAAGAAACTGCCTCTATCTCCTCCCGCTTTCACCACTACAAGATTTACATTTTTTTCTTTTTTTAAAAAATAATTGAATAAAATAATTGTTATCCATCAATAATCAGCATACAAAACAAAATAATTGAATAAAATAATTTAATCACCAACTTTCATACAGACAATTATTCAATTGCTAAATAACTGAATAAAAAGTTAAAAAAATAGGTTAGGCATCACTTTCCCATCAAACCTCATAACCGAAGATATA